TGTGAATTTTTTTTTATATAGAATGTGGTATCTCTTGTTGTTTGCTAATGACTATTAACATAAGACCAGAAACCACTACTCAAAGTCTGTGATTTGTATAAATGCTATTTTGCTAAAAAAACCATTTTTCATACCTATGCACCTATGGTTGTTTCATAGGCAATAAATCAAATGTGGCATACTATGTATATATTATTAACTGAATGTTACTTGTTATATATAATTTTTAAAAATATATTCATATATATAAACTAAATACCATTTAATTTGGTTTTCCTCTGGAAGTTGGAAACAAAAATTTTGGTAAAATGTCTTATGGGATTTCATGCCAGAATAGACCAGTCATAATAATTTTGCATAACAGTTGGGAATCTTAAGGTCTGATTCTAAGGTCGTGTTTTGGGAGCACTCTAGGGATAGCAGTCCCAAGGTTGAACTGAGATATAAGGGTCATCACCTTGAGAGGCAAGAGTTAGAGCTGGCTAAGACTGGCTGTCCCCGTTTCATGAGAATTTAATGAGACCTATATGTCTGTGTTGGCATTTTGCAAAAATGTAGAAGCAACACAATTGTGTTTCTGCATCACATCCAAGGAGGAAAAATATCAAAAAGTTTTTTTGTGTGTGTGGAGAGGGAGAGAGAGACAGACTTGGGAATTGTGACATGAAGAAAATGGGTTGTTTGTTCGTTTTCATTTAAATCTTCTCCAGGGGGTCTTGCATCATTTTAACATGATGCTAAATGATCTTCTGTGAAGCCCATTCGGTTAATGTGGAGAGCCCTAATATTTGATTAGATTAGTTTATCATGAGCTTTGCCTGAATCTATATAGAGAATTCTAGCTTGAATTTCCTACCATCTCATTAACCTTTTACAGGAAAACCACAGGAATTAGTTTTTACCTTCTTAAATTGCTTGTTTACCATTTATTAAACCCATACCACATACTGAGAAGTTTACATGAAAAATTAGTCTTTGTCTACAAGAATCTTGTTATCGTAATAGGAAATTAAAATACCCAGCAGACAGATAAGGAAACTACACATTTACATACATACATATTTATGCACTTATACCATGCTCAGGTGAACTAAATTCTGCTACGATTGTTTTCCTTGTTTGGGATCTCTCACTTCACGTGGCATATTTATAGACATATATGCAAATATTGAACAGTTGATGTTTTTGCTACCTATTTCTTCAAATTCTTTGAGCATAAGGGGTCTTCATCTATCTACCATCTGTGGAGATTTTTAAAATGTTAGTTCTCTCTCTCTTTTTCCCCCCACACACAAAAAAAGGTTTACACCTAAGTTTAATAAGAAGAATAAAGGGCAAGAGTAATTTTCAAAAAGTCTCATTTCTCTTCGGGAAACTCAGCCTGTGTTTCTGCACATTGTATTCATAAGCTGTGAGGAGAAAGGACAGGGCAGGAGAGTCCAGTATCTGTCAGACTCTGACTTGTTCTTCCTGGTTACCTCTACAGTTAATCTCATAACATTTAGTGTCATATTCTCTGAGGGGAGACATGTTTCTTCTTCCCAATGTCGCTACCATATTATATTCTACCACATTATCTTCTCATCATTGTACCACGCCACATTTCACGTCATTTATCTTCAAAGAAGAAAGAAGCCCACTCTTCTCCAGAGTTCTGACATATCAAACTGAGCCAATGTAATTACCACACTGTAGGATAATTCCTTACAACTCCTCAAATTATATTAATATCAAAGTATTTTAGCAATGTCTTTTTAGTCTTTATTCTTCATTGGGCTCAAATAAACTACAATGATCCAGATTTTGAGATAGTGGACTTCATTGACTTATTCTCCAGCTAACAAATACTTTTCCAAAAGTACACCCTACTACTTAACAATTGGGGACCTGGAGAGGGAACTATTGTATAGACAAGGTAGGCTAGATTTGTGGCAATAACAAACTCCAAATTTTAGAGGTGTATAACAGTATCAGTTTCTTTCTTATTTGATCATCGTGGTGAGTGAGATATGGGGAGACTCTTCATATGAGATATGAAGATAGGGGAGACTCTGTTCATGTCTTTAACTCTGGGGATTCAAGTTGCTATACTCTCTACTTTCATGGACATCATTGGTCACTTTGGCTGGGGGAGAGAAACACATCAGTTCTTAAGTAAACTAGCTTTTTAAAAGCATACTACACAGAGAACTGATGACCTTTGCTTCCTCTCATGAATGCCTCATAGTCCTTTAACTTTCATTTCATTGGGACAAGTAAGTCACAACCCCACATCAATGGGATGGAGAAGTACAAAAGTACCCTTGCATCCAGAAGGGAGAGAAACAGAACTATGTGGCAAAAAGCACTTACCATAGATACTTTATCTTACTATTTTCCTTTTCAGACAAGGTAGACATGAATGTTGGTGATGGCATTAAGGAGAAACCAGATGCAAAGTTTTCGTTCCTTCCTTCCTTTTCTAATATATAAGAAAATCTCCCTTCAATGAAGATGGTAACATATCCTTGGTGCTGCAAAGATGCCTCTTTTCCCAGGGGAGAGATCAGAGGAGGCTTAGCATGTGCTCTCAATCATTGCACATTCAGCTACATTGGCTACCTTGTTGCCCTGGGAACATGCCACACTTTTTCCTATTTCAGGGTCTTGAGATTTTCTGCTCCTTCTGTTTGGAATGTTGTTCCTGACTTAGATCTTCATAATGGATACTTCCTTCTCAAGAGTCAACTATCTCCTCAGAGAGATATTCCCTGAGACTGTCTCTGTCCCCCCCCATATATATATATGTACTCATACACTCCCTTTCTGTGTAATCACTCTCAAATATATTTTTAAAAAATCTTAAAAATCAAACATTAACTTACTTAATCACTAATTTATGTGGTTATACTTGTTTTCTTTCCTAGGAATAGAAGCTTTTCAAGGCCAGGGAGAGTCTATGTCTCTTTTATATCATTGCTGCATCTCCAGTACTCAGAACCATGCCTACTTTGTGGTATTCACTCCTTTACAATGTGACTGAGTGCAGTGTAGAGGCACTATAACTTGTATGATGTAAAGTACTCAGGAAATTGAAATGAACTGACTTATCGTTAACTAAAACATATTTTCTAGAGCACATTTGATAAGAATAGAAGTCTAGCTCTTAATTTTTTAGCTTTCGTAGTCATAGATTTGTGTTTGAATCAAATATAGAGAACATCCTCATAAGATCAGTGGCAGAATAATATTTGTAACTTTGAAAATAGTATCTACCTCTTAAATGCACTCTTGAGTGTTATGTGTGGTTTTAGTCACATTTTTCACTACTGTGACTAAAAGATATGAACAGAACAATTTTAAAGAAGAAAATGTTTATTTGAAGCTTCACAGTTTCAGAGGTCTTAGTCCATAGAAGGCCGGCTCCATTCCTCAGGGGTCGAGGTGAGGCAGCACATCATGGTGAAAATGTGTGGCAGAGGGAAGCAGCTCACATGATGATCAGAAAGCAGAGAGAGACTCCACTTGCCAGATACAGATACATACCCCAAAACCATGCCCCAATTCCCATTTCCTACATCCACACCTTACCACTTCAATGACCTCTCATTAATTCCTATCATGGGATCAATTCACTGATTGACTTAAGATTTTTTACAACCCAGTCATTTCTCCTCTGAACTTTCTTGCATTGTCTTACAAGTGAGATTTTGGGAGACACCACATCTAAACCATAACGTGTCAAAGCTGTGTGTACACCTGAGTTTTTTTTTTTTAATCTCAGATGGAAGAATGAGAGATAACTGATATGTGTGTGATTTGCCCTCTCTCAGTAAAATATAAGCTCTCTAACCTGAGCTACTATACATTGGTTCCTCTCATCTTCAAGAGCAAAGTTAATATAATGCATGCTGTGCTGATCTCGTTTATCATGGGTTTCAATATTTTTATAACTTTAAACAACTTCAGATTTCCTTCTTTTCTATTTAAATTTCTGTTTTTTATGTCAATCACAGTTTTAAAATTTTTGAAACCATAATCTTCCAATGAATATTTGATTTTAAGCTTTTACATTTGTTAAGTGTTACTTTTAGCCAAAGAAATTTATGCTTTATCATTTCCCAGAAGGATTAATACTTTGAAGAAGAAGAAATGTGGGGAAAATAATAATGATAAAGACAAACAAAACCCTGTCAGAATGTGACAAGTGAGGTCCTAAAAATTCAGTCACCCCAAAAGTTCAGTAGCCTCACTTGGAGGTTAACAAAATAGATATAGGATGCTGACAGCTTAGGGGACCGGGTTCTAGGTGGCTGGCTGATAGATGTCATCCATCCAATTTCTGGCTACAGTTGGTGCCATTTGGTGGTAGTTGTCACTCAAGCAAAATAATAAGGAATAATAAGTGTCTAGGTCCCGAGACTGGATGGGCTTCTAGGAAAATGGTGGTAATTTCAAGAATCACCCTCTTAGTTCATTTCCAGGGAAACTGTGCAGAAGAATGCTAAGGATATGGTATTCACACTCTGCCTCCTGTTTCCTGAGAATATTCTTTGCCTGGCTTCACACTCTACCTCTGAAGAAGAGAATAACTATTATCGGCACTCGACTGTTTTGAGAAGGGGGCTGACCTCAGCTCCACTGCAGGGTACCTTGTACAGGCTTTACTTTAACTTGATTAATATGTTGAACAAAAATGTGTGAAAAAAAGTCATCTGCAAATTAATATATTTTTGATAGTTCCATATATTGCTTCTATATTTCAGACTGTTTTAACAGCTCATTCTAATTTGGTCACTAATTGTTCCTGCTTCACCGAGCATTTACTGACAGAAGTGGTCTCACCACATTTAGAAAAGAAATCAAATCTGCGTTATGGAGTTAGCATCATTGTTTTTCTAGTTTCATGCATGGTGGATCCCTTATAGAGCTATATTTAATGTACTTCTAATTAAAAAAGAGGGAGAGAAGTGTCCATAGCTTCCTCAACGTTGTTTTATCTTTTGTTTTTGTTTGCACAGCTCACCATGTTAAAACGGGAACTTGCGAGGTGGTGGCACTCCACAGATGCTGTAATAAGAACAAGATAGAAGAACGATCACAGACAGTCAAGTGCTCCTGCTTCCCCGGGCAGGTGGCAGGCACCACACGAGCGGCTCCGTCTTGTGTGGATGGTGCGACTTCTTCCGTTGCTCATTGTGGGAGTGTAGTGGGGACTGCTTGGTATTGGAACCAACTATCATGTTGTCACCTGGAGTCAATCCTGGGGGACCACACTATGAATCACATGGCTGAAGTGAAGTTATTTAGGAGACATTTTGGAATCTAAAATCCTTTAGCTGGAGATATAAGATCTTATGCAGTTCTGCTATGGAAGGATTATAATGAAGTTCTGTTAAGTCAACATATTTCTTATTTTGATATCATGAAATATTGATTTTCTGGTGGATGATAAAGGGAGGGATGTGTAAAAATTAATTGTGAAAGGCAAGATGAAAATAGATTATTTAACACCATAGATTCCTAAATCTATAATAAATTGTTCTTAGGAATGGAAAAAGTTAACACCATATACATGAGTGAATGTTTGGTTGTAGATAGAATTCACAAAAATATTGATTTTGTGAAGATGCATGAAAATATTAGCTCTTTTAGGATTTGCCTAATTATAGCATAATATAAATCTATGGGTCCATTTAATCAATGTTACCATAAACAGTAATTTGTTAGGTGATGTATTTATTGTGATGAGATTGGTGCTCATGATAAAAATAAGAAAAATGTGTTTAACTCCATTTAACAACCTCCAGATTTTCATCCTATTGATAGGAAATATCACATTGATTTTAAACTGGTCATGTGTTCATTTTCTCCTGTTTGTATAAATCAGTGCATGGACATATCCCCACATAGTTTTATTATCAAAATATTTGTTTTCATAAAGCCTTTATTTTCACATGAAATATCTCTAACATTGTGATTATAGTTAACACCATTGTATTTTTCACTTAGAAATATGTTAAAACTGTAAATGTCAGTTCAATATGCTTATCACAATAAAAAAAATTTTAAAGGAAAATTCTTTATAAATTTTTGCTAAATATTTTTTTAGTTAGATCAGTGACTTTTGTTTCTATTTAAGTGTGCACCCAAACTATTCTAACAGTCCTTAATAGAAAACATGGAGTCAATTTTTCTCTCTGTTGTAGCATCTATAGTGGAACAGAAATGGTGGTGTCATATGCAGCCATGTTTGGAGGGAGAGGAGTGTAAAGTTCTTCCAGATCGGAAAGGATGGAGCTGTTCTTCTGGGAATAAAGTGAAAACAACAAGGGTAAGTGGAAATCCAGCATGGCAAAAGTGAAATATCTCTGAATCAATAGAGAATGGGGCATATGCAGTAGCATCTGCAAGTGGTGGTTATAGAATGAGAAAGTGTGGTTTTGCATAGTGTGTTTCCATTTTTTCCTTAATTCATTTTTTCATAGTACATTTTTATTTCTGAATGACATCTTCTATATATTACCATCAACTCTCATGCCATCAGATAAATAAATACTGTTTTCAGATAAATAAACACTGTTTCCTCATGAGATACTGCCGGGAATGTGGTCCCCTTGAGGATGCATGTTAAATGTTGGAAAGGTGACCCCAATTCTAATTCTTCTGATGTATAAGAAGAATCATTGCAATCATTGTACTGGTTACTGTGGAAAGTTTCACAATCAGGGCCAAAGTACAAAGAATATTCCTAAGACAGGGATGCATTTCAGCTTTGCAATGACTGATGTTGGGGAATAGGAAAGGAGTGAACAATCACTTTATTCTTTGATTTGTTAATGAGCCACATGGTTATTCTGGACCAGCAGAATATGAATTTGAATTTTTTTTGTAGAGTAAATAAAGTTTTGTTATACTGGAAAAATAAGGAGTAGCATAAATCTAAAGATTGGTTTATTTGTGATATTGTTTGACATGTCAGTTTTTTAAACCTTGTCTGGACATATTAAAGAGATTATTTTATAATCTCATTCAGATATATTTTAGTCAGTCAAGTAGTGTTTTCAATGCATGATGATCAGATATACAAAAAAAGAGATCAAGTTTCAAGTAGCACAAAAAGTAAGCATACTGTGTCAAGTTATTTTTGACTTTAATTTGTTAAATGTTGCCACATTTTTCCAAAATTCACTAAGTGCATGATCAGTAAGTTAGAATAATTTTTATTCAGTGAGTTAGCTAAAGATATAATTAAAACTAATTAATTAAAAACATCTTGGAAATAAATTTCCTTGTAAGGTGTTTACACTATGAAATTGTTTTCTTTTCCCTTAACATTGTTAGGTCTGAGTCTAAAATAAAGGTCATTGAAATTCACTGAAGATTTGAGATTCTGCAACAAAAATGAAAAAAATGGCAAGATCTCTTGAACCAAATTCTATGTTTTTATTACTTCAGTGAACAAGGGGAAGCTAACATTTATTGGATACTTAAAACATATGCTATGTACTGAACAAAGTGCTTTAAATGAATTTGTTCATTTACTCCTCTTAATGGCCCAGTGAAGGAGATAATATTTTTATCTACTTTATACAGATGAGTAAACCAAAACTTTAAAAAGTTAAGTGACTTCTCAAGATCATAAAGCTAATTATTGGGACATCAGAGTTTAAACCATACAACCACATTCCAAAACCTATTTGCTTAACCTGTATTTTGTACTTATGATTTAACTTATTCTTAAGTAATAGCAATAAAAATCTCCTTCATATTAGGTAGACCTTTAAAAATATCTTTAACTTTCTGGATCATTGAAACAAAAAGGTCAAGACCATGTGATCCAAAATCTCATAGAGAAGATTTTTACAAGAGCTGTTTCACTCCCTGTTGGCTATATTCTCAATGATCCAAAATTACAATGGAGTCTTCGCTTCACAAAGTTCTTTCCAATGAAATGAAACTATATGGATAGGAGACTGAGGACAATGAATAGGGAAATGTGGAGCCACATCTGGACCCTGTTTTGCTTATATATTGTCCTGGGCATACTGTATGACACTTCCTATCTTTCTTTCATCTCTTTTGCCCCCCAAAACAGCAAATAATGGAGGACTTCACTTAAGATATTACAGAGAGTATTTATGCAACAGTAGATGTTTGGATTAAATTACCTTCAATATAGCTAATGATTCTAAGACTCTGTGATTCCCATTTTAAAAAAGAGATACCATAATTTATAATAGAAGATAAGGAGACTTGAAAGAAGGATCTTCTTGAGTAAAATCAAAGTTAATTATGATTATCCTTTCTTCCCCTTCATTAGAAAAAATATTGCTGGGAAAAAAATGGAGATGCATAAACAACTCCAATTAAAGAAACATCATAGCCTTCCAAATGGCTAGGCAAAGATGTGTAATTACAAGGGTTAGTTTGGATCACAAAAAACAGTTTGAGCAAATTTTCCTGATGCTACAAAGAAAAGCAGAGTTTCTAAGGTAATAAGGTCATTACTGCTGTGCCATCCCCACTGAAATGGTACAAAAAGTATAGGGGATAAGAAGTATTCTTGAAATAGCCTTTGACACAATAGTATCTTGCCTGTAGGGAGCGAGGTAGAGGTAATTTCCTCTGTGCTTACACAGAAATGATATTATTGAAAATAACTTGATTCAATATTTTAATCATTGGTATTATTATCTACTTGCCAGTGTTGAATATGGTAGCTGTGGCTTCCTTGTGTCTAGAAATAGTTAGAACCCTAATTTGGAAAGGTCCTACCCACTAAATGCCACGTCCAGAAGTTAAGCAGCAATAGATTACAAAGTAACTCAAGAGCTGCTCTCAGCCAAAAAACTATTTGTGTTTCTTATGTAAGATATGTTGGTCATAGGGGATCATTGCTGCAAGCAAAATGGCTTGAAAAATGATTAAAATTTGCAGTAATGCACACCCTCCCTTATAATTGCCCATATCCAATCTGGAGTGCTCCAGTAAGCCTAATGTTAGAAAAAAAAGCAGTCAGCCAAAACAGCAGTGAGGCTTGTGTGGCCTCCGCAGGGATGTGAGGTACCTTCCAGAACTGACTACAAATCTGGGGCTGAGTGAGCTCATCTAAGAGTGATTTGGAACCTACATCATACTTACTACAAATGTGAATTATATCCTCCTTCTGTCTTTGAACTAAATTTAGGAAGCTTTTTCGTTCTGACCCATTTTCTGTGCTAAAAAGGGGGAAAGGCAAGGAATAGACAGCCCTTTTTGTAACGTCAATATTTTGTTCTTCAAACCCCCAAATATTTAATGGAAGAGAATAAGAAGATGCAACATTTGTTTCCTGTTCTCATTGTTAAGGTGGAAAATTTAGGACTATCTCTGACATTCATAAAGATCTGAAATACTTTTTTAAGATTTCCTAAGTTAAAAAGAAAGAAAGGGAAAGTCATTTATGCCTTTTATTTTAAACTCACTTTCAAAGATAAATAATGAAGACTTTCTTCAAGTCATTAATAAAAGAGTAGGCTTTCCAGTGTGAAAGAGCACATAATTATATGCTAATTATACAATAGAAAAGTAGCAGGGGGGAAAGGTGCCATAGAGCTTGTAAGATATGAGAAAAAAAATCTTTAACATTGTCAGAATCACCAGAAAAAAAAATACACTGTGGTTCATTTCTTTTCATGTTTCAATGTTTGTTCAATTCTTTGTCTGTGGAAGATGCAAGGCGGTTGCATTCTGCTTTTAGGATTTATAGCCCTTGCCAATTGGTATGGACACCAAGCTCCAAACTTTAGTCGTTGCCATGGCTCTTGTGTCTGATTCTTACCCAGGGAAAAAATGCACTTCACTTTATAAAAGACTTTATACTGTCATTAGAAAGATTATCTTTGTGAATTATGAATCCCTGGTCTACTGACTTTTCATATGATTAAGAAAGTATTTTCTGGATATTTTTCGCTGATTGGAATTATTATGTCTTCATTCATTTACTTTAAATGCCTTAAGTAGATAAGAACTCTCTGATTTTTTAATGTCCCTTCAAATAAAAAGAATTTAAGTGTATAAAATATGATTCTGGTTTTATTTTTTTGTATAGTGCAGAGACGATCAATAGTAGGAAGAATTTCTTATGTATGGCATTCAATGATTATAGTACTCATAACCAAAACAACAAAAACAAATACAAAAGTACTTCTCTCTTACTGTGTGTAGCTCACTCTGCTAAGAGCATTGCAGATATTAGCTTATTTAGTTTTCCTGACCACAGTAGACACTAAGGAAAATACAGAGATGAATGGCATAAACCTTGCCCACGAGGAGTATGCACTTGAGGAGGAAAATGAATAGTGTATGTTGTATTATTCTTCTCTTTTATCCATCTGCAGCCCACTGACATTAAACCTTGCAATCAATGGTAAATAAAAGTCAAGAGTAATGTTAAAATAATGAAATAGCATAAGACCATAGTTTAGCTTCCTCTTCTGCAAAAAGTTAAAAAAAATAAAATTAAGTATATACATGCATAAATAAATAAAGGAAGGAAGATGTTGAACTAGGTTCAATTTCAGGTTCTTCCAACCAGCATTTATTCTTTGGTTCTGAGTGCCAAGGACATTTCTAACTTCCTCTCCAGCTAAATTTATATGGCACTAATACCTGGCTAATCGCAGAAGACAGATGAGTATTAGGTTTTTAATTCTTTTCCTGTAAGGTGGAAAAGAAACAGCACGTTGTGATGCTTTGCTGATTAAAGCCTCCAGTCCTCCCTTACATATGCTACTGGCTTTTACACCAAGGCGCAGGGGGCTGTGCTCTATTTATCTGCTTCTGGACAGTGTCCACTGGTGTTCTTTGAGACCCAGGGCAAAGGAAAAACTCCTAGGAGGAAAAGATTTCATTTCTTTTTCTGAAGGTTTGTATAATTTGCTTGAATTCTTCAATTCTAATGTTCAGTTTTGCCTCGAAAATGTAAGTACAGTTTCATAACAGTGCAGTTCTTTCTTGTTCAGCCCTTTCTTAGCAGGCACATCCCCATTCATTTATCTTCATCTCACTTCCAGTCAGGCCCTAAATTGCACTGTGGTCCACAGCACAGAGTGTAATGACCTTTAGGGCCCTTGCTTTCAAATTACTTTTATGGTAGCCACAGTAAGAATGCATCTTACCTTCTGATCTAGCACACATGTAACACACATGCTTGCACATGCCACACTAGAATTAAAGTTCTGCTCTGACATTTGGGTTTTATTTCCTTCTTCCTTCTCTCTCCCCTTCTCTCTTTCTCTTCCTTCTGCCCTTCCTTCCTACCTTCCAACATCAACCCCATAAATTGATTTT